GTTGCATGGTGACTATGAGTTAATGGCCTCCAAAATGCCCTCTCATTAATATTTCTATTTGAATCTTGCAAACTAACAGCATCTCACGTTAGGTTGTTCTCTCTTCCTACCACCCCTCCTTCCTTCTAGCAGTATTGTATTTTCCAGTAAGATCTGCTCAGGTCTTGCAAACTAACACCTGTGGCTTATTTTATTGAGTCAATCCATCTCATGTTAGCTCTTCCTCTCTTCCAACTGCCCCCACCCCTTTCCCCAGCAATACTGTCTTTCACAGTTAAGTACTACGTTCTCATTGTACAGTATGTTCAAGGTAGGATAACCTCAGTTTACTCATTTTGCTGTAGTGAGATTTCAGGTTTGACTCGATTGAGCATATACCTCTCCTCCAAAACTAATTTCAAATAAACTGATTTTTATCCCTCTCTTTCTTCACTGCCTTTCTTTCACACAGTATGGATGATTTTGACCTTGGTTTCCAGTGACAATCTTTGCTGTCAAACTACCCCTCTTTTTTTAACTTCAGAAGGCAAAGGTACATCTTTTGGAAAACATGCAGCATCCTGAATGCTGATGACCCCAACATTAGCAATCCAGATGGCCTACATGTACCCTCTTGTACTCACTACAATTCACAAAGAGATATCAAACTAACTCCTTTTTACAGCAGAACCAATTCTTATCCAAACACAAAGCAATTGTCAGGGCTATTTTTCAACAAGTTATTTAGGTATGTTTTGCTTGGAAAATGTGGACAACCATCAAGTGCTGTGATGAATCTCTGCTTGGGGGGAGGGCAATTGACAGGGTCTTACACATCCAGATCATGAATGAACTGGCTGTTGAACTGATTGCAGATGTGTATTGGAGAGAGGTGGTTCTGACTTCAGATTTCAGAGCTGGATCGAGATGGAGGCTTTTCCTCTTTGTCCTCATCTGCATCAAGAAACTTCATTTCCTTTGCTAAAATGTGGTACCAACTAAACTTAATCTTTGCTGATGCTCTTTTATTTCGAATCTGGATGCTGCCAACATTTCTAACACAAAGTGACGATTCATAAATTCTGGTATTATGGAGGAGGCTGTCAGAATAACTGGCAATATTTGTTGTTCCATTCATCCTGATGAACAAATACAAAATGAAGGGGGTTGCTGAACTTGATTTAGTATGAATTATTTCATTTTTTTTATTTTTAAATCCAAAAGACACAGACAATCAGATGCCCTAATGTAAGCCATTTTACTTCACTCCCCAAATTTTATATAAACCCCCAATAAGCAACATTTTGCAAAGAAAAACCCACACAGCACACCCATGAGTGCAACTGGAAATTAGGTACTTAGTAACAAGTTTCCATACTTTTCCTTTCACCTTCTGTCAAAATCTGGATGTGTTATGCTGCACTCTTGCACATAAAAGAATATTGGCCTTGAAGGAACATGGCTAAGACTTCTTTTTCAATATAGGCACAAACAAAAGAAAAATAAAAAATAAAGAAGACAAAAACATTGTGAGACCTTAACTGTTATATTTTAATATGAGCTTTCACTGACAACTCCAGTTCCTCAGACATAAGAGGGGGGGGGCTTTCTCAATACAGATGGCTGTGAGTGCTGTGCACCACAGTTGCATGGGACAGAAGCACTCCAAATCCCTTAGGAACTTACATGAATTCTAGCCATATAGATATCAACTTGAGTGCAAACAGTTAATCTGAAAGAAACATTTCTTCCAGGCATTCTGACTACATTATGCCTTCAAGCAATAAATATTTAGAGCACTTGTTGAAAAACAGCCCTGCCAATTGCTTTGTTTGTGTGAGAAATGGTCAACAGATGAAAAAAGACTCAGCTTCTGGGATTTTCCCATGCTTGGTGTCTCTTTGTGAATGGTAGTGAGCACAAGAGGGTATCCTGTAGACCACTTTGACTGCTGCCATTGGTGTTGTCAACAGTCAGGCTGCCCTTTGCTATGTAAAGTTTGGCATCTTTTTTCCTGCTGGAAACATGAGCACCGAACCATTTCCTGGCATTTTAAATTCAGGTCAGAGAAGCACAATATCCCACATTCATAAACTGGAGGTGTCTTGAAGAGCTTTCAAGATTTCCAAATTGAAAGCACAGTAGAAGTGACATAGGTACTGTGTCAGAGAAGAAACACTGACTCTCATCATTTTCCATGACAATGCAGAGTCACAGAAGAAACAGTGCACCTGTAAAGAATTTATTTACAGCACATTTTTCAGCCAATTGTTTAAGAATCATAGAACAAAATGAAAGGTCTGAACTCACTGAGCTTCTATGAAGCCACATGATAGTATCATTCATTAAATGCTCGGGTTAACAGCTACTCACCCATATATCTACAGCTCTGTTCTGGTTTTCTTTAGCTATTGCTGGCATACTAGGTTGGGTCAGAAATTCACCTTCTGCTGATGGAAGGGCTCTGCTCACAGAATGTTCCTGCACCATATTTACAGAAAATTCCCTTCCCTGTTCAACAGGGTCTACTAATCCTCTGTGTCACATTTTCAGAGGGCTAGAAGGCCCCCCATAAGGAGCAAGCAAGAGCTCTTCTAACAATCCAGTCACACATGTCTAAATCTGTAACCAACCCAATAATCTTTCATTTTAAACAAACACACACCCATGGGAAACATCAAGCAGTAAACAGCAATCTAACTCTGATAAAAATTGAAAACAGCATACTTTTCAGTAGGACAAACATTCAAAATGCAGGTTTCAGATACAGATGCATCTAATTGAACATTTTCTCACATTTCTTTTTTGAAAATAGAGAATGCATGTTTTTAATACCATTTTCCTAAATGGGATCTGATATATAACAGAACATTGTACAGTACGTGAATGAACCTGTTGCACTGTAGATAAACATGAGTTCTCACAATATGATAACTCAAAACAGATACAACTGAAACTGTTAACAGAGCATATAGATTCTACACTGGTTTTCATAATAGAGACAGAACTAGATATTACCTATCGGCACAGATAAAAACAATAAAAGATAGGAGGGTATGATTTTTAAAGCAGAGAAAATATTACAATACAACAAAATTTGAGAAACTACTCCCACTCCTCACCTTGTGGCCTTTAGTTGCAATTTAAAGCTAACGCAGATGGGGAAGGAATGGAGAAAGGGAAATCCAGCACCCATTATTATTTCATGGAGTGTTAAAAAAAATTGCACAGAAAAATTTCACCAGAGAAAAGAAGCATTCTAGTCAGTCTACTCTAGTCCAGCCTTCTTCCTGATATACCATTTTCCATGGGGAGATATGTGTGTGTGTGGGGGGGTATTTGTGCACAAAAAGCTGACAATCATAGCAGCTTCTTCCTGGAGTTTGAAGTAGTGCAACGCAGAGACATGTTTACTGTTTTAGTGTGAACTAGGTTTGCACTGACAGGTTTCTCTCAGACATCTGATGCTTACTTAATTAGGTGAAACATAGTGGAGATAGATGTTGCATTTACCGGAATACACAGATGTGCAAAGTTTTGAACCATAATCACTCTAATGCTATGTACAAATAAAATTAAAATGCTAAACTCAATGTGATAATTGCATGTTTCTACATTACTACATAACAAAATTTCTTTTTAACAAAGACACCATCATCCTCTCCTTTCCTAAACCAAAAGCCAGCTTCTGATTTTCAGATTTTATCAGATCATATATAATCAACAGAAGCAGCATTCTGACATTTAGCATACATGACAGTGATTAATGGTCCACAATCCGGCCACTGCCTTTCAATTCACCAACTCTTTCCCTTCCCAAATCCTCAAAAGAGTAACCTTGTTATACCCACATGGCTAAGAAAACCCAGGCTAAGTGATAACCAGACAGATCCCTCAGGATGTAACAACAATTCCATAAGCAGATCTGACTTAGCAGAGATAGAGGAGCAAAACAGTCAGAAGAAACCTGAGAACATGAGGTAAAGGTAAAAGGTAAATGTTCCCCTTGACAATTTTTGTCCGGTCGTGTTCGACTCTAGGGGGCAGTGCTCATCCCGGTATCCAAGCCATAGAGCCAGTGTTCTGTCCGAAGACAATCTTCCGTGGTCACATGGCCAGTGCGACTTAGACACAGAACGCTGTTACCTTCCCACCGAGGTGGTCCCTATTTATCTACTTGCATTTGCATGCTTTCGAACTGCTAGGCTGGCGGGAGCTGGGACAAACAACAGGTGCTCACTCCATTGCGTGGATTCGATCTTACGACTGCTTGGTCTTCTGACCCTGCAGCATAGGCTTCTGCGGTTTAGCCCACAGCGCCACCACGTCCCTTGAGCACATGAGGAGGACAGGCCAAAGGAAGACAGAAAGTTGATCTGACTGTTGCCTGTATCAGACATCAGTCTACTAGCCCTATATTGTCCAGATAGACTGGCAGGAGCTTTCTAGTGTCCTAGGTAGGATTCTTTCTCAGGCCCACCTGGAGATCCCTTGTATTCTCTGGTAGTCCCTCATCCAAGTACTAGGCCTTGGCTTCCAAAATCAGACAAGATTGGTTGAGAGCAGGTTATGTTGTGAAATATTACAAAAAAATCTGGAAGCTGATTGTTACCACAATCGTAAGAGCAATATCTACTGGCAAGGCATTCAGGAGAGAGGCTAGCAGGCCTATTTTTCAAAGGAAACAGCTAGTGGAAGATTATGACTTTGAATCTGTCAAATTAAATCCTACATCTATTAAAAACAGAATATGTAAGAGTCCAACTGCTGGTCACTGTTACACACTGTTGAATATAGGAAAGAGTGACTGTCCTAGTCTTGTTGACTTTGATTGGCAACAATTCTACAGAGTATCAGTCAAAGTTCTTTCCCAGCCCTACCTGGAGAAGCCAGTGGTTGAAAGTGGAGGCTTCTACATGCAAAATATGTGCTCTACCACTAAGTTTTAGCCCATCCACATTGCTTCTATCTGTTTCACTCTTCCAGAGAACACTAATGCAAAAATTATTCTAAACACTTACCATATAAATGAAAAGAGGTACAATGCTCTGTAACGCTCCCATATACTGTCCAAGTGCGATGTTAAACATTTCAATGTAGAGATCTGGTGGGCTGGCCTATAAGAGAGAGAAAATATCTGCTTTACTAAAACAACTTTTATTTTAGAGTAACAAGGTCAGTCTGGTAAATAGCTTAAGTCTAAAAATGTGAAAGTGCAAGAGAATTAGAGTATACATCAGTCACTAATACTTGTAATTACCTCTGTCAGAAAAATCCCAGCATGCCTGCAGCAAACACTAATTCACTAAGATTACAGGAAAATGCTGGACTACCACTATATCTATTAGCATCTAATATAAGAAGTAAACTAATGAATTTAAAATAATTATCTGAGTGTGGATCCTTATCTAACCAAAACAAAACCATCAGCAGTCCAGAGGGAAATTCTAGGAAATGGGAGTGGGCGAGCAGTAAACACAATTGAGTGGACAGTGACCTTTCAAGGGGAACAGAACACCAAGTGTCTGTTAGGGGAAGGGGATGGATGCTCACATCCTGAAAGGATATGGGTGCTGGAACCTTGAACAAGGACCCTGCAACAGTTGTGGTATTCAAGCATTTGGCATTTTAACCCAGGGTTTGCAGTCTTTTGGGCCACGTGCAACATGTGTTCAGCCTTACCAATACTCTTTCATCACATAGAGGAACTGGAGAGACTTCTCTCTGTCTCCTCCATCAATTTAGAAAGAGTGATCCATTTGAGGATCTCTATAGGAATTTGACCCAACTCCAGGAGGCAATGGAAGAGAGGAGCGCCTGGCATGCTCTGGTCCATGGCGTCACGATGTCAGACATGACTAAACAACTAAACAACAACAACAACAACAACAACAGGAATAAAGAACAGATGGCACTCCTTTCACTCCCTCCTCAGATTCAAATACATGTCATTCTTTCCTATATGAGGATGTCATACAAAGGTATTAGTGGGACAGATGAAACTGGCAGAAAAAATACACCATTTGTCCCTCCATTTCTCATTCAATGTACCGAATGCAGATCAAAACCCTCCAGTAATAACGTAATGCTATAAGTGTCTATTCAAGAGTTAACTTGAGTTCAACGGCTCTCATTCCCAAGTACACTGTTGCAGTCTCAATCTCAGCCTGGTAAATGCAAAAAACTTGGGTATGAAAAAATCATTACTGGGCAGGGTGAGATGACAAGCACTACTAGGAAGGGGAAAAACTAGTGCTGCAACCTCACACCACAATGTGTTTATATGAGCATTATGTGAACAAGGTCTGAGAATATATATCAAGAGTTGCAGACCAGCAGTGGGGTTCAGTGCTGAGCCACTGAAATTTAGTTTCAATCTGGTTAGTTGTCAAATGAAATATTGAAATATTTCTGGGTGTTAATAAAGGTTCAGTTCAGGAATAATCAAAATGAGACTGATTATCTGCCTTAAGCCTGCATGCTCCCTATTCACCCTCCCAAAGCCAGTGTGCAAGGGGGATAGATTCTTCTTCTTTGCTTGTGATAGAAGCAAGCCAATTGTGTATCCAGACTGGAAAGATCAGCTGACAGGGTGTCACTGATGCCCAGAGATGCCTGGAGGTGCTCACAGTCCTCGCAGTCTTTGGGGAGGCTTCTTCCAGGTTCCCCCAAAAGGAAACTTTTGGGGTATGTTTTTTTTCTTAAAACCCAGGTTTCCATTATGTCCAAACCAGGAAATGGCAATCTAGAGACTCCCAACAAACTACAGCCTCTTTTCATTTACATCTAGCCACATGTATCTGTTCTTGTTTGGACTCCAAAACCCATAATTTTCTATTCTGTGAGGATCACATTCCACATCTCTGTTCTAGCTGTTATCAAGCTGCCTGTAACGCTGAGCAATGTTCTAATGCTACAAAGGAAAGCCCACCCCTAGCCTCCAACTTTCTCATTTCAAGCATGACCCAAGCCAGAGCTTAGTCACCTATAATTGTATGGCCAGGTAGCTCTGAACCAGTGGAAAAGACTAGAGCTGGTTCCCAGCACTGGTGCAAAGTTTTCTATTGCGTCCTCGTCCAAGTGCTGGAAACTTGTTTCTGCAACGTGAAAAATGTATAACTGTGCATACAGAGAAATCATAAGCAAATTCATCAGCAGTTCTTCAATCAGGCTGCTGGACAAAGAAAGGAAAATTAAGGGAAATAACAGAGGAACATATGCTGAAAGAAAGAATGATTCACTAGTAAATGATATAAAAATGAAATGGAAAGATTTCAGGACCTGCATGAAAGAAGATGCAAGAATTCCCAGACTTTAAATCTGCATTGAACTACATACACAGGAACTGTCAATTGACCTTAACCTAACAGTTTCTATAAACTTTTAATTTGGTATTCTTTAAGAATTGTTATCTCCTCTTTGGCTCCACATTTGGACCAAGCAAGTTATGGGGAAGGATTCTGCACAACATAAAAGCATGTCCTGTCATCCTCAGCTGGCTAGAGGCTTGGTTTGGTTCTATGTCTGCTGGGTATAGAGCAACTAACTGCAGAGAGACAGCTGCTCAAAATGGTAGTGAAATGTGAAAATGCGTCAGATTATTATTCCTGCATCGGCTATCCATTCTAAGGTCAGAAGGCCTCAGCCAGAACTAAGGCAAGCCTATGCTCTTCTTCCTTCTTCAGACCAGCCCAGAGGGCAGAGAAAGAAAAAAAGAGGTACACCATCTTGTCTTTGCACTGGCTAGGCCTTTTGTACTTCCTAAGTCCTGCTGACAGTGAAAAGAAGCTGGCGTTGTTTCCACTTTCCCCTCAACAATTCAGGGCAAAGACAAGATGGTGACAGTATCCACGCTTGCACCCAGTAAATACAGAGCCAAAACAAATCTGCAGAAGTCTGAGACTTGGGATTCTGCGCAGACATCACCTCCACATACATAGAGAGACGTTTAATGGCTGGGAGCTGGGCTCAAACGCACCAAACGTTAGCTGAGTAGTCATTGTTGCAGTCAAGATTGAGCTCTGAACTTATATACATGTTTTGATTCTATTTCTGCCCAGTTGGCTCTATTAGCAGGACCAAGTGGGGGGGAAATGTATTCAATCATGCTGCTGGGATGTGACTACAGAGCCAGGAGTTGGGAGTCTGATTCCCCTACTGTGCCTCCTTGACAGAGGCTTGGCTTGATGATCCATAGGGTCCTTTCCAGCTCTGCAGTTCTTTTACTACTGCTGCTATTGCTACTGCTACTAAACATGTGTGAAAAATGCAAATGCACTTTTAGGAGAAAGAGGATGGGAGGAAGAACCCTCCCGCCCTTGTGTCATCCCCTCTTTCCTGGAAAAGGGAAACAGCGACCAACACCCATCCTCCAGAACCAGGTGGTGGGGAAAAGGCCAGGAGAGGAGTAACTGACAGAGGCCCGGTTTTGGAAGAAAATGGGAAGGGGGGAGAAGAGAGAGGAAGGGGCAAAGGGCGGAGAGGGAGCAATATATAAAGAACAAAACAAAGGGAACTGGAGGAGGTAGGATGGATGAATAATAAGAAATTGCTTTATTTCAATTTTCTGTAGCAACTAAATTAGTCCCTATATGCCAAAGTGGCAGCACAAGAATAAAAAATAGCCAGTACATAAAAGATTAAAGATAGTCTTGCATGACTACAAATTACTGTATAACACATGAGTGAAATGTTGGTTAACTGTGGCATTTAAATAGGAGGAGGAAATCAATAAATATTTTAGATATTGAATCCACTGAACAGAAAATCAATTATCCATATTGGAAACAGGGAATCCTAAGTAGATTCCCCAAATCCACTAAGGTGGACCCTACAGTGTAATAACTAACACATAGTAAGTGGCTGTTTATGTAACATCCAGCCATGGAAGCACTTTTAAGTATGTGCACTGGGTTCTTTATTTCTTGTATGTGCTGTGTATTGCAGACAGTACAAGAAACCTCTGCAGTACCAACCCATACTGCAAATTCTCTTAGTATCCATGCAACACAGCATTCTCAGAGGATTTTTCCCCTCTACATCCTAGCTCAGCTGAATATAGACACCCAACAGAATTCATACCTAGACAAATATCTAGCAGTTAATACTAGTTAGAAAATGTAAGCACCAACCTTTCATGCAAGCAATGGAAAGATGAAGGAAAAGGGGGAAACTATGAAAGAAATGTTGAATATGGGACTATATCTCAAAATATGTAACCAGCAATCCTCAGGTTCTTGTTTTTAAAGAGCAACCTGTCCTCTTTCAGTCTGCAGTTCAGATGGCTTGACTTTTAGAAAACACGCACTCTTCCAATGAAAGCATTCTGCTGCCACCTACAGTACACCTTAAAATGAAGGAAAAGGGATTTTTCTCTACAAAATAATAGAGAACATAGCCTGCTATTCAGACCCTTCTGTGGGGCTAAGTTCAACTGCTACTCAAGATAGTTTTGAATTCACAAGGAAAAACAAATTATTACTTTGTTGCCATATTCATAGCAATTAGGAGTTAGACATAACATTTTCATCACAAAAGTGACTGACATATGTACAGGATTAATTTTATGTAAACCAAAATTATTTGAATCACGATTTAAATCAGTAATTAATCAGTAAGATACAATTTAAATCATAGTTTCCCACATAAAGTTTAATTCCAGCTGGCTATTATAATCATAATACTTACAAGCCAGATGAAGATTTCATTTTTAGAATAAGAACTTTTCAGGCTAGTTTTAATGTTAATCTCCTGTATGGAGAATTAGTGCAGGGAAATCACCCCAGAGGGAGACCACAGCTGCAATACAAGGATATCTGCAAGCGGGATCTGAAGGCCTTAGGAATAGACCTCAACAGATGGGAAACCCTGACATCTGACCATTCAGCCTGGAGGCAGGCAGTGCATCACGGCCTCTCCCAATTTGAAGAGACCCTTGTCCGGCAGGCTGAGGCAAAGAGGAAGTCACAAAAGCAGCAAAACCAGGGAGTTAGACAGGGGACAGATTGGATTTGTCTTCAGTGTGGAAGAGATTGTCACTCTCAAATTGGCCTCCTCAGCCACACTAGACGCTGTTCCAAGTCCTCCATACAGAGCACGTCACCATAGTCTTTCGAGACTGAAGGATGCCTAACTAACTAACTTTAATGTTATGAGAAAATTAAGGACTGTTATTTACCATTTGAAATTGATAGTTATGAAATCACTATATGGTGAAATCTCCAGTTCAATATGTTCATTCATATTTGGAAAACTGCTCTGCTTTACTTTATTGGAAGAAGAAAATAATAATTAACAACAAACACTATTAAAATTGCCTTATTTAACTAAAAAAAGATTACATAGTATATGCATGTTTGTATTTGCTTAAACATCCAGGTTTCTTAACTAACGTGGCTAGTATTCCTTCATCTTCCTGAAACTCAGCACTTAAGAGGTAACAGGCTGATTCAGTGTACGCAAATTTGCAGATAAACAATATGATTCCAGTCTCTTTCTCAATTCTATGTCTGTTTCAAAATATTTTTGCTGTTAAGAAGAGACATGTTGCCTCTGCAGACACAAATTCAGTTCTGAAAATTGCAAAACCAAGCATATGTGATGGTATCATCTTGACTAGGGGTCTCCAAACTACAGCCTGCGAGTCATATCCGGCCCATTCCCTTCAGCCCGTGTGGGGGAGATGTGTGCGTGCACATTCCTTCAGCCCTCAAAAATGTTGAAAATGGACAATGTGGCCCTCATGCTCAAAAGTTTAGAGACTGCTGATCTAGACAGAAAAATTATCCAACATAATTGCACAGAAATCTCTGGAAGAGTATGTCATTGGAGTCCTAATGATTCAATTAATGAAATTCATTTACCAAATGAGAAGCTCCTACACATTAAAGGAGGCACAATCGGCGGGAGGGGGGACCTCTGAGATGCCTCCCATGGCAGTGGAGAAGTCCTGGAAGGCATAGGAGGCACAATCAGCGCCGAGGGGGACCTCTGGAGGCCTTCCAGGCTTCTCTGCCGCCATGGGAAGCATCTCAGAGGTCCTCCCCATCAACGACCGTACTCTGGAGGCACTATGGGCCCCAGGGGGGGACCTCCGAGATGCCTCTCATGGCGGCAGCGAAGCCCTGGAAGGCATCCAGAGGCACGATCGGCAGCCTACAGACTGGAAGGGGGACACGGGGAAAGTGCCAAATTGGAATTTGGCGCTTTCCCCGCCTCCCCCTTCCAGTCTGTAGGTTGATTCTCCGGCCGCAAGTCGATGGGAAATTTTGTGGCTGGAGAAGTCCGAACCTCGAAAAGTATGCACGTTGAGCCGTGTGTACATACCTGGGTACTGCTTTAATGTGTAGGCAAAATGGCATGAGCATAAAATGCTGGTGAACTCATTTGGTCTGATACCCATTTCCTCCTTCCGCATTTTAGGACTCTTGGAGAGTTTTTCCCCCTCAATGTTATGGTTTTCTTTCCCAATATTATGCATTTCTTATCATATGTTTACATCTATGTTCAAGTCATTAGGAAAGAGATCCTCCATGTGGCAACTAAGTTGACTTGTTTTCAGACTTGGCTGGAGAGCAGGCTGATTATTTCACAGTGAGTTTGCAGTAAATGCTGTTCAAACCTTATTTTTAAAACACATTTTCAGGCTTGCATTTTCTATACCCCCCTCTTAATTATTTTATGCAGACCTTGAGAAACAAATTTGTACTTTATGATCTATTGTGAGGATCCATGTGTATCATAGTAAAACAAATGGTTATTTGACTGTCTCAATATGTAAACAATACGCTCTTGACAAAGGGGAGATTATTAGCACCTAAGATGAAGAAACAGAACAGTTTCCAATTAGCAAAGGTGTCAGACAAGGGTGCACCTGTTCAATAAATAAGCAGAACATATTAGATGAAAAGATTGATCAGCTGGAGATGAAAGAAGACAGAAAATTGATGAAGAAACACCAGTAATTTAAGATATGCATAGCGTCACATTACTGAAAGAAAACAGCAATGACTTGAAATGGCTATTAAGAAAGGTTAAAGAATATAACGCAAACACCTTGGGTCCATTTTTAGGAGGATAGTGGGGTAAAAATATATTAAATAGATAAATAAATAGGATTACAGTTAAACACTAAAAAGTAAAAAATTATGACTGTAGAAGAATAGGCACATATCTTTAACACTAATAATGGGAAATTTACAGACACCTTGGGATACCAGAAAGACTTAAGTTCTAAATGAAATCAAACTGGAATTCTCACTTGAGGTGAAGATGGCTAAACTGAGAATACTGGGTATATCATGAGAATACAAGACTCACTGGAAAAGACAAAAATGCTGGGAAAATGTGAAGCCATGAGGAAAAGAAGAAAAACAAAGATGAGATAAACTAATTCCATAAAGTATTTCAGTATGCAAGACCTAAGCAGGGTTGTTAATGGTAGAACCCTTGGGTGGTCATTAATTCATAGGGTCACCAACTTAACATCATAGAACAACGCAATCAGAACCAAGTCCATCTAGGCCAGCATCCTATTTCCAGCCTATAAATTCCTCAGGAAGCACACAAAAAGGACATTTAGCCTTCTATGATATATTTGAGTGTGTGCACACATGCATATAACACAGAACCCAGGACCACTGTTTTACCAGGCAAAAGGAACGTAGATCTCCATCCATGTATGCTTCAGATCAACAGAATCACCACTGTGTAAAGCTGTAATTCAAGATATACTGATGACATTTTCAGGTGTGCCTTAAATAATTAATTTGTGCAAAAGTTCCACAGATTACATGCGAACAATGGTCACGTTACAGAAGCTAAGGGGTTGGAAGGAAATACTGCTTATCTTCCTAAACCCATTAGGAAAGAGGAAAAATTAGGCAGGAATATGCCTCATAGAATCACTTGGTGACTTCTTTTTAAGGATACTACCTACTAGCATCTTACTAGCCAAACTAATTTTAATTTAAATATAACTCAGTATGGGATAGCTATTTCAAGAGAAATCATACATCAGTAACTATCTTGTTTGGAGTTTTTCCTTTACTTTCCCATTTTTTACAGGCATATACAGATTTTCTAAGATTTCCACCATGGAAATACATGGCCTAAATAAACAATGAAAGCGATTTTTCATGGAACGGAACAATTTCAGAACTAGTTCTCTACACCTCCTCAGACTTAACTGACTTCTACTTAGGCACCAGTTTATCATAATTAGCGATGGCTGGCATGCTATTCCCAGTAAAATGCCAAAAACAAAATTGTGCAACTTCTTACCTGCAGCTCCTTTGAGACTCTCTCTAAGTGGTTAGTTATCTTTTTTATTAGGTCACTATACATCTGTTCCGAATGCTGCTGGCACACACATTTATACACACAACTGCAGAAATAAATACAGGAACAGTGATGAATTGACAACAGTTTGCAGCAATGGGAGAGGGGAAACAAGAAATATTAAACCAGTAGGAATTCAGCTTTAAAAATAAATTAAACTTCACCCATAACATCCTGCCATCCAACAGGTTTTGTGACAGCAGGGCAGCATTACCCACAGAGAATTCTACAGACATAGAATTCGGTCTGTGCAGCTGATGCTGCCTCAAATATTATAAGTGTAGCAATTATAGCTTGCTTGTGCCAAATTGTTAAGAAGTGCAGATAACCTATTTCATCAGATAACAACAGTCCTTATTAACGTAGGCCAATTTATAATGTAATTTGCACTGAAACCACAGTTTCATTCAATTATGCAACTCTTCCTCTTTTAATGACAATGTAAAGGAGATTTATATTTCTAAACTCATGCCAAAATCCATAGATATTCATCTTCATGATCTACTTCTCCAAGTATTTTTTTTCAGGCACTGAAGTTAAATTTCCATATAAAGCAGTCTCTTATAACTCTTTTCTTACTATTAACAAACTGATATTTGGTCCCAGTAAAATTAACAAGACAAACTATTCACTATTAATTTTAATAAGACTTGAGGAAGGCTAACAGAGCCTAGATCCTGTCCTATTTGTTTTATATAACAGCTAAAGTAAAACTAAGCTTGGTCAGCTTTCCCAAGAAACTGAAAACAAAGTACACTACTATAGAGATACATTTCCAGATATGTCCTCTCTAAGCATCAGTTGGTGATCCCCCCTCCGCCTTCATATTAGAATAGATCAGTGATAGCAAACCTATGGCATGCATGCCACAGCTGGCACGTGTAGCCCTTTCTGCAGGTACACGAGCCATATGTCACCGGATCGCTACTCCCCCAGACGAGCCATATGTCACCAGATCGCTACTCCCCCCACCCCGCACAGCCAAACTTGAGAAGGTGGTTGCAGCCACTTTGGTAGGCAGATCCGGAACAGCTGGTGCCGGCGGCGGATCTGGAGTGGGGTCTCGGGGGACCTCCGTGCCCAGGATTCCCCCTTCCACTGCCACTTCTGGTTCTGCCTCCACCACTTCTGGTTCCACTGCCATGGCACGCCACCCACTGGTTGTTTCACCCACCTCCCAAGTTTGGGCATGCGAGCCCAAAAAGGTTTGCCGCCACTGGAATAGATGCTTGCAGGCCATAGGCACTTCCTCAACATTTCTTCCCAAGCCCCTATTGCTGATGCCTCTGCTGCTGATGCCACAATTCATTCCATTGCCAGCCCTACGATTCTGCTGGAAAACACAGCAGAAAAGGGGTGCACCATATTTCATGGAGGAATCTCTGATTTTTGGTAGTTGTAGAAATAGCAGCAAGGGGCTCTGAAGAAAGGACAGCAAAGCAGGACTCTGTCACGAACAATTATTTCTATTAACATATGTGTAGTTACTGTTCAGTATTAACTGATCAAACTGCAAACCCAATAGGTACAAGTGCCATTTAAAATGATCCCTATCTTAAACTGATAAGCTCTACATAGCATACAGTATCAATTTAATCACTATGAAAACCTAAGCCTGTAACCCCTGTGTTAAGTATAAGACACACACATATCCAATCATGACATCTAAAGTGTGCATTACTTAACATTTCAACACTTCAGAACTTTGAGAACCTCCTAAAAATAAAACATAACTGAATTATAACACATGCAAGGCTTTTGGCTCAACAAACAATAATGGCAAAAGGAAATGAAGCTTACCTTGACCTCCTACTCTGACCCTGCAGCACAGGCTTCTGCGGTTTAGCCCACAGCGCCACCACGTCCCTAGGTACAAGTGCCATTTAAAATGATCCTTATCTTAAACTGATAAGCTCTACATAGCATATCAATTTAATCACTATGAAAACCTAAGCCTGTAACCCCTGTGTTAAGTATAAGACACACACATATCCAATCATGACATCTAAAGTGTGCATTACTTAACATTTCAACACTTCAGAACTTTGAGAACCTCCTAAAAATAAAACAACTGAATTATAACACATGCAAGGCTTTTGGCTCAACAAACAATAATGGCAAAAGGAAATGAAGCTTACCTTGACCTCCTACTACTATGCACACAATATGTTTTATAAAAGGCCTCCTTTTGAACTCTCTGATATTAAGACAGAAATACGGTTGAAAACCTTTTTCTCTTTTCTTCCAGTTCTGTTTGACCCATCTGCATAGCATTACCTTTACTAAGGACTCCAACGTATCATGAGCAAAGCCAATCTTACACAACATAAGTCCAAACATGGCTAAGATCCATTGCAAGCCATGGAAAGGGGGATTGTCAACTTATTCAATAATGCCACACTTTATTTATTTTTACCTCCCCCCACCCCCTGGTTTGTGTCCTACCAAAGAGGGAAAGGGCACACTATCAATGTCCCTCTCCTAAAATGTTCAGTGCAACAGAGAAAGCAGAGGCAGACATGTCACATTTCTGGAATTATATGATACATGCTTCACAATGCCAGATGTCAACAGTGAGCTGTCATTCTCTACTAGGATATGTGGAGAATACAGCTTATGCATGTGGAAATCAGACAAGTGCCAATGTAACAGTGGACAGAATGATGACATTGGACACAAGAGAATGAAGCTCAAACTGGGATGATGTAAATAGGCTAAATCAAAACAAAATAATCTTTCAGGCTCATTTGCTCCAGAGAGTTACTGCAAGGATCAAAAAGGTAAGCAGTGTAGAACTCTATGTACATGTCACAACTGCCTTGAGGTATGTGACTTGCATAGAACTCTATGTGTCACAACTGCCTTGAGGTATGTGACTTGCTAACTACAGCAGACCTCATTCAAACTTAATGAGGATAAAAGAGGAAAACAGTAAACGGAAGTTGTAAACTTGGTGTTATTCGTTTGGCATTACAGCTTCTGTTTATGGAGGCCTACAGCATAACAATGCTTTATTGTGATTCTCAGCCATCTTGTTGAAGGTTTCAAGGAGGAAAAACTTAGGATATATAGTTAATACTACACAGACTATTCACACTAGAGCAAGTTTTACTATTAGTGAAAACGTTGATGGGACTAGCTAGTCCAGATACAGTGATGCCTTGCATTACGACATTAATTCGTTCCAGCGAAATCGCTGTAGAACGAAAAGTCATAAAGCGAAAATAAAAAAGCCACTGAAACGCATTAAAACCTGGTTAATGCGTTCCAATCAGCTAAGAACTCACCGTCCAGCAAAGATCCTCCATAGGGGCAGCCATTTTCGAGTACCTGTGCAGCAAAAAATGGCTCCTAAACACAGCGGGGAGCCATTTTGAGCACCCCGCGGCCATTTTAAAACCCGATGATCAGCTGTTTTGATCATCAGGAAGCAAAAATCGGTTCCCAAAACAGGGAACCGATCATCACGCAGCAAAATTCCCCCATTCAAAACATCGTTTTGCGATTGCTTCTGTGATCACAAAAACCTCATCGTAATGCGGATTCGTCGTTAAACGGAGCACCCATCTTGCGAGGCACCACTGTATATTTTTTTGCCACGTCAACACAGTAAACAGTGACTTGCCACCACTGTCTTTACTGCATAGCACAAGATACTCTGCAAGTAAGAGTATTCTTGTAAGGCTGGGTCAGCTCTCAACTATTCATTAGCAACTATGGACAACTGATTGAAAGATTTATACCCAACCTTTCTCCTGAAGAAGAATTAGGCAAGTCTCGTTAATGAACAGAGCCCACACTAATTAATTATGCTTGTCTTGTCACTAACAGCAGAGTCGGTGATCATGTTTATGAGCATACAAGGGGCATGCTTTCGTGACATATGGCAACAATGAATCTTAATCAGTTAACTACTTCCTTTTAATGAAACAAGTAATCCAGACATTCTGAAGAAGGCAGATCTTCACAAGAAGTTGCTCCTTTAGTTTGAAAACTCCCCATCAGATATGTGCTGATATGAATGGTTGCTAGCTCCAAACACAAAATCTTCATGCCTTACTGAAATGGGTTCCTAATATTTTCAAAGCTACCAGTCCAGACACAACGCTCTGGCCATAGCAAGGTGGAGGCAGCAGCATATCCTACATGGGATTCAATAGAAGTGATAATATTTTGTGTGCCCCTTGGAGTCTGACAATGAGGACACATTATGTCAATACCATACCAGCTGCTTAGGGTTAGCAGTGCATTTGTAGGTACAGTTCAAAGGGCTGCTTTTGATCTTTCAAGACCTAGGAATTCTGAGCTAGATTGTCTGAAGGACCACCCACATCTATATAAATCCAGCTGAGTTTTGAGTCAGGCATGAGAAGTCCTGTTTGCTGGCGCACCTTTAAGACTGAAGAAACCTCTTCAGTGATGATCTGCAATGTGCAGAATTCCAGTTAGAACTGTCAGTCTTGGATCTAAAAGATAAATTCATTTCAATCAGCTTTTAACTCATGCAGTTTTACTGCACATACTACTTTTTTCTCACTGTGGCTTGTGATAATAGTTTTCTGCAGGAACTGTTTTCTCATATGTATTATATTTATAAGGATTTTTAACGAATTTTTGAATTCTGAACTTTTCCTGATGAATTTAATGCAATATTATTGAATCTTATGTTTTGCACCTGCTCTATGCTGTTTTGAGAGGACTTAGCACTGAAAGATATCCTATAATAATGTAAAAGAAGCCATTTTGTCTGTTTTATTGTAAATTCTACTTCTTGTTAGACATACTGGGACCTGCTGAAGGGTTGCATACAAATCCCTAGATAAATTAAGAAAACTTTCTAAAATATTTTCTTTTGCTGGTAAAGCCCCATGATTTCCTTCAACTGTGCAGAATGAAGATATGAAAAGATAATTTTCTGAAAACATTGTTCAGAATTCATACCTACATTCTCCCAACAAGAGAAAAGACAAGTTAATTGAAACTAGTTGGTTTTCTTTCCTGCAAATCAAGATAATACAATTCACAGCTTATATGTGGCCTTTGGAGATATCCAGCTGCCCTCACACTCACCTCAGCGCTATTCCACTTTATCAGCATTTCTACTTCCATACCATGCACAACAATGCCAAATGGGGCTGCTGGGAGGGAAGATGGTCAAACCCTTTTCCAAAATTCAGAAGAAGCTAGCATATCTAAAGGGAAGAGGATTTAGCTCCTGCCTTCCCAGCACCTTGTTCATATATTTATTATATATCCATATTTTCCACCTTTCAATCTTAAGTGTTTGAAATACTTAATTACTGAAGTAATGACAGAATAATTATTTCTATGTAAGAAGGCAATATTAGTTCATGGAAGTAACGACCAGCAGCACCTAGGGATATATGACAATTTAAAGATTATCTTACCTGTATATTTGTTCATAGGAGATGGGGATGTAGTCACCAGGACTCTGCGTTAAAAGCTGATCTATGGCACTATCCAACTTTGGCCAATAAGTGCTCTTATAGTCTTCTATCGTTATAACATTCATTACTAGAAGGAAGAAAGGCATTATCTTACTGAACTTAGCATCCAATTAAGATAGGATAATTTTAAAAATGGCACCAGCATGATGAGCAATACATGAAACATTTCTTATAATATAAATCAACTGCTGTGAAACACTTCAAAGGAAAGTACTGCCAAACTGTTTCCTAATTCAAGAAGAGAATTTATGTTATCTGCTTTAGAGTGAAGCTCTGTATGCATCTGTTATGTGCCATCACGTCAATTAAACGTATAGCAAATCTAGTAGGGTTTCCAAGTCATATGAGATATTCAAGGAAATGTTTTACCAATATTATCCCCTGCGAGTTTCCATGGCGAAGTGGGGATTTGATCTAAGTCTCCTAAGTTTTTACTTCACCACTCTATCCACTACACCGGCTATCTATATGCACTCACATGGGAGTAAATCTCATTGAGTATAGTTGGACCTTTTTTAGAACAGACTTGCACTGGCCTGCATTATGTTCTGTAATAAGCTAATCTGAAACCCTGTGGATTTACAAACAATAAGCATCTACCACAGGAGTGTTTACATTTCATAATAAGCCATAGTTTGTCTTAAATACAGTTTGTTGCATGAGCCAAAAATTGTACAAAACAAACTGTGTTTCCCCCTGCCCCATTTCTGATGTATTTCTCTCCTACCCCTTTTGTCAGCTCTTGTTTCAGAACTGGCAGTTAGCGAAATCAGTGAGGAACAAGCCATTATAGGTATTGGTTTGGACACTACATACCATTTCAATAAATTAGATTTTGACAGCAGAACAGAACCTGTTGCCAGAAACAAATTTATGCCACAACAATGTAAGGTAAAGGTAAAGGTTCTTCTTGACAATTTTTTGTCCAGTCATGTTCAACTCTAGGGGGCGGTGCTCATCCCCGTTTCCAAGCCATAGAGCCAGCGTTTTGTCCGAAGACAATCTTCCATGGTCACATGGCCAGTGCGACTTAGACACGGAACGCTGTTACCTTCCCACCGAGGTGGTCCCTATTTATCTACTTGCATTTGCATGCTTTCGAACCGCTAAGTTGGCGGGAGCTGGGACAAGCAACGGGCGCTCACTCCGTCGCGTGGATTCGATCTTACGACTGCTAGTCTTCTGACCCTGCAGCACAGGCTTCTGCGGTTTAGCCCGCAGCGCCACATTGGCGTAGCTGCCAACAAATCACGCATGGCTTGTGACATATATATTTAATCAACATTAAATGACTTATTTATATAGCATTTTTCCTAAATGCGTAAAGTGCTTCAAACATATTATTTCAAAATAATCCTACCAACAGTCTTGTACAATGAATCATAGAATCCAATGTAGAATAACTGTGTTGGAAGGAGCCTATGATGCTGTCCTTATAGAGAAGTTTGCATTTCTAGCATACCTCAGAAGCCAATTTAAAACTATCAAGCTTCCTCTTCTCTTGCTTTGACAATAAATACATTCCTAGATCACTAGCTTGCCTGTCACACAGGCGTGAGACACAGGCTCACCATGTCTATTTCCATGCAATACCGTACTTCACTTTTCTCACTTAGTTTTAATCTCCTTCCTACTGAGAATGGGGCAGAAAAGTAGAAAGGAAACATTTCCATTCAGAGGATGCACTTTACATTTCAAAAGGCCATTAAGGAACCACACTTTGTATTCAGATAAAAAGAGGAAAGCAGGATGGTTAGGGGAACAATATATGCTGATCTAAGTGCAAAACCAGCAAAAAGTGCCATTTGGGGAACTGTACACATATTTCACCAGGTTAAAACATCCAAAACATATAATTTCTCAAGGTATATGGTTTTATTTATTTATTTATTTGTTTAACTTATATGCTGCCCACACTACCCGAAGGTCTCTAGACGGCTTTTTGCAGCAAATGCTGAAGATAAGGAGCCGTTTGCAAAATAAACCTGAATGTAAAGTTCAAGACTAAAGTAGCAACATCACCACCCACATCCTTTGACCCATCTGTAACTGGAGATGACAAGTGAATCCACCACAACAGCTCTCCTAAGAACATAAGAGCCCTGGTGGGTCACAGGTAAGGTCAACCTCACCTAGAATTTTGTTCCCTCCCCAGCCAAGCAGGTACTTTTGGGAAGCCCACAAGCAAGATATAGGTGCAACAACAACCATCCACTCATGCATCACCAGCTCTTAAACAGAAGAATAATGTACCTGGTGCTGGAAAAATATACAGTGGTGCCTCGCTAGACATTGGCTTTTTGCGATCACTATAGCAATTCGCAAAAGTGATTCCTATGGGGGAATTTCGCTGGACAATGTTTGGTCCCTGCTTCGCAAACTGATTTTTGCTAGACGACGATTTTGAGCTCCCTCCGTGCTCGCAAACAGGTGTTTTCAGGACCTAAGCTTCACAAGACAGTGATTTAAACAGCTGATCGGCAGTTCGCAAAGCAGCTTTCCTATGGCCGATCTTCGCTAGACAATGACGATTCTTCCCCATTGGGACGCATTAAACAGGTTTCAATGCATTCCAATGGGGAAATGCTTTTCTCTAGACAATGATTTCGCTAAACAGCTATTTCAGTGGAACGGATGGTCTAGCGAGGCACCACTGTATATAAAGTGGAAACTGGGCAGCCAAGCTGTCAGTCATCACTAAACCTTGCAGCACTCAACAGGGATATAAGAACAGGGGTTGCTAAACGGTTGCGAGCAACTAGGAAGGGGAAGATAGGAGAGAGCAGTTCAACTCACAACTCAGCCTCCACTGTTTGATGATGGAGGGGCGCAAATCTCTCCAGCTCCTATGCCGATTTCTAAGGAGGGACAAGAGGGGGGGGGGAGAGACGTCTTACTCACAGAACTTGGAGGCCGAGGGGTTGAGGTTGAGGTTGATGCTGGCGGCCGAAGCAGCGACTCCTCCTTTGCCCGGCGCGGCTTCGCACTCCTTCCCTTGCCCCGCGTTGGCGGCCTCGGACATCATAGGGATCTCCAGCTCCTCCTGGGCCGGCAGCGAGCCCCTGTGGCCGCCTGCGGGCCGGAGCTCCCCGGGGCAAGGAGAGGGAGGCTGCGGCGGCGTGAAAACAATATGTTACATATGAAGTACCAATGCTTATGGCTTACTCAGTCTAGTTTCTAAACCCAGGCATCTGAAAATTGTATCATGGGAAAAGTCTTATGGGATCAAATGGTAGGTATCAGTTGGTTCTGACTTGATTCCTCCTCCATGCTCTCCTCCTCCATCCCGACCGGCCTGGAGGGGCCCGCTCTGCCCGGGCAAAGGAGGAGGGGGCGGGCAGGCGGGCCGGGAGCGGAAGGAAGGTCACAATCGGTCCCTTCCCATCACAATAGCGCCAGGCGTCGCGTCGCCCGGTCGGCAGAGAACGAGGGAAGAAGTCCCGGAAGTCCCGGCTGAAGCCAAGCTGCCAGCCGTAAAGCGAGCGCCCTTTCCCTCTTGTGGTTGCTTTACGGCATCAGGTGACCCGGCGCTCTTTTTTTTTTTCCCCTTCTAGGACAGCTGGGAATTGTAGTTTCACGGCCTTTTTTTCTGCCTGGATAGAGCTACGGTCGCTGAGGCTGTAGGAGCGGAGGGTTGAAACTCTGCCCCCGGCGAGGGGTTTCTGTTGGCGGGGGGGGGGGGGTCCCAGGAGAGGCGGAAAGTTGCTTTTGGAGACGGCAGTTCCCCAGTATTGCCTCTCCGGCGTGGTTCCCCGATGCTTAAAGTGAAATTTTGGGGTCAGGTGGTTTCTCCGCCCCCTCTGATAACTTTTGAGATTGTGGACAAATCGGGCGCGCACGGCGGTGTTGCAGGCGGACAGCTCCCACCCGGATCCTCGTAAACCGCTTATTCCTCCCGAGGGATTCAGTTGTTCCCCTCTCTTAGGTCCTAGGAAAGGAGAAAGGAGCAAAGCCTGGATAAGGAGAAGGGGGGAACCTCCCACGTTTCCCATTGTAGTTCTGTACTCCTAAAGGGTTGCAAGCCCCAACCGTGAGCGTTTTATCGCAGATTGGGAAAAACATTCTGTACACAGTACTGGGTGGTAGCGTTCACCCTCATGTTAATGCATATTCATATTGCAGACTAATGTTGCTAAGAGGTGGAGTCAGGGAGAGTCAGAGTCAGGAGGGAGATGAGAGTGGAGAGAGTGTGGTATTTGGGAGATCTGAGGTGTGATTTGAGTGAAGAGTGGATAAATACTGTTATAACCAATAGAAGGTTGAGACTGATGATAAATAAACCTGTAGAGGTTGCCTATGATTCATTATTAAACGTCTGTAATCAATAAACAAGTTTTATTTAAAAGACAGTGAAGTTTGGACCTGCATCTCCATCCTTCCATAAGTAATGTTGATTTAGTGATCAACTGGTGGCAGCAGGTAAAAAGGAGTATTGGTTTGCCTTCGTGTGCTCTGTGTTTGGGGAGTCAGGCAGGGGCCACGAGGGGCGAACGTCACATGGGTTTATAGGCGAAAGCAGGTCGGATAGCTCAGTGAGTTAGGTGAGCCTGGGGTCAGGAGACTGATTCCCTACTGTGCCACCTGAGATAAGAGCCCACCTGTGGGGCCTTGGGCAAGCCCCCGGCACATTCACACCCCAAAGAAGGGAATGGTAAACCACTTCTGAGTACTCTTGGAAATCCTGGAAAACGTTGCTGTAAATTAGAACTGAGTTGATGGCACGTGATGATGATGATGATGTGGAAAGCTGCCTTTTTCCTTTTTGTTCCACATGTGGGAAAGGATTTAGCCCCCAAAGCAAGAGTCCTCCCTCAATCCTAATCCCTTATCCCCTTGGAAACTTTCTTAAAACAGACATTATTAAACTGTAACAGGGATGTGGTGGCACTGTGGGTTAAACCACAGAAGCCTCTTTGATGCAAGGTCAGAAGACCAGCAATAATTAAGATTGAATCCACGTGAGCTCCCGTCACTTGTCCCAGATCCTGCCAACCTAGCAGTTGGAAAGCATGCAAATGTGAGTAGATAAGTAGGTACCACCACAGTGGGAAGGTAATGGCATTCCAGGTCTAGTCCCGCTGGCCACGGATACTGTCTTCGGACAAACGCTGCCTCTATGGCTTGGAAAACAGGGATGAGCACCACCCCCTAGAGTCGGACACAACTGGACTAAATGTAAAGGGGAACCTTTCTTTACCTTTATTAAACTGTAACATGGGATGGGGAGGACGGGCAAAGTTGTACATCTAATCCCATACCAAACTGCACAGGGTCCCTGGTTGTAAGACTGACTATGCTTAGGATCAAGACTGGCCCAACTGTTAGGCAGATAGATGCATCCAACTTTGGCCAGTTGACTTTGGTTTTCATAAAAAGAGAGTGCAACCAGTTTAATGTCTTGTCATTATCACTGGCAGATAGAGAAAGAGGTGTTTGTGAGATTTTTCCATCTCATAAATCAAAATAAGGTGGCTCGGAGTATTATGCACTTGGAGGAGGGGATGTTATTACTTACTGTTCTGCCTCAGGCAGCAAAATATCTTGAGATAGCCCTGTCTAGAATTCTTTTTCACATCCTTCAGTTCAACATAAGAAGGTTGGAAACACAGCTGGCACATGCAGTGCCCTCTTCTTTGAGGATACTGAGGGGGAATGAAACTATGCTCTTTGATAGTGTTTATTGAGAGAACTGTGCAGCAACCTAGGATTTTTCCTCTGAAAAATAAAACAAGTGTCCTTAATATTTTTCCTATACATTCTACAGCAAAATCATTTTTTTTACAATTATCTCAACTGTTTCTCTGATTCCAAGTCTGATGTCATTCATTCTAGATTTAAAAACAAAACAGAAGAACATGGTTTTTTTTACTTTGAGGCAAAATTACTAACCATTATAAGCAGTGCCTGTACTATCAACACTATTAGTATTACAAATACATACTTTGAAAGAAAACTGAACGTGTGTTGGTAAGGCACCAGACGTTTCAATTTCTTTGGATTCTGTTTATCCTTGGGGGCCAGTCCTGTACCAATAGAGGAATGTCTTTTTACAGAGAGTCCTCTTTTTTGAAGGTGCATGTTATTTGAAATGCTGTCCAGTTCCTGTATCATTCAAAGATAAAAATCCATAGGAGGAAGATCGAGGACCTTTAAGCTCCCCATATAAAGTTACCACCTGGACAAACGACTCAACAGCTGCACCAGCCACCTAATCACTGTTCATAATTCTGTTTAAATTAGCAAAATGGTTTCTAATTTTGCATCTGTATATATAAATTAATAATCATGTGGCATCAAGTCAATTCTGTCTTCTGGTGATCCTTTTTAGGGTTTTTCAGATAGAGAATACTTAGAAGTGGTTTACCATTCCCATCTTCTGGGGATGTGCAGCTTGCCCAAGCCGGAACAAGAAACACAGTGGGGAATTGAACTCCCAACCTCTGGCTGCACAGCCAGATCCCTAACCATAGAGTTTTCCAGGCAGCATATATAAATTAGGAAATCAAACTTTAAACAAATCAGTGTCTTCTTTTGTCCTTTTTTGTTTTGTTTGTTGATGTATAATGTATTGTTTAATGATGTGTAAGGGGGCACTCTATCTTAGATACATTTTATTTTAATTTTTCAAAAAATGTACTCCACATTTAAGGAGTCCTTCATGTACTGTATGTAGAATCCTTTGCCGTATTTATGGGTGGCCCATTTCACCTGAGTTTTCTCAGTTAGCCTTCAGAGGGAATGATTAATAATATTTTATTTTGCTTTATTCTTGCTTTCTTCTGTAGACCAGGCTAAATATGTGGTAGCATATTTAATTTAAAAATGAGTAGATCTGCTAAATATTGATAAGGTGAGAGACAGCTGGTCTCTAAGGCATATTTCTGTTCAAACTATTAATTTTGTTTGTTTGTTTGTTTGTTTTTGTCTCTAAGGCATATTTCTGCTCAAACTATTAATCGTTTTTTTGGTCATTTCAAAGCAAAAGAGAAAATCACCTTGGCTGGAATTCATTTGTCAAGCTGTTGTACAAACATCTCCATCTAGTGGTATATGAAGTAATATTCCCTGCTATGAACTTCAAGTTTAAATAAAAATGTTAAACAGCCTTGGAGTTTTAAATCTCATCTTGACCTAGAAAAACCTTTTCCTACTGTAAAATTTCCCTTCCTCCCCCCCCATCAGAGAAAGCAATTTCTCCTGATTTTGTAGAAGCCATGACAATGGTCCACAGCTAGCCCACCATGCTTGCAGGCTCGTTTCATATCATATGTTCGTCATCATTATCTTAGAACTGCAGAGCTGGAAGGGACCCTATGGATCATTAAGTCCAGCCCCTGTCAAGCAGGTACAGTGGGAAATCGAACTCTAAACCTCTGGCTCCACAGCCAGATACTGTCTTAAACCACTGAACTATCCAGCATTTCTTGTTAGAACACAAGAGGACTTTCTTAGTGGCTGCTTCACACCAGAAACACTCTTCCAAGACATGCTGGGCTGCCCCACTCCCTGCCATTCATCTGTCGGCAGGCAAAAATATATTTTTTATTTAGGGATGCCTTGCAGCACATATTGATTGATAAGGAAGGGCATTTCAATAAGCAGGTGTTATTCCATTTATTGGCCAAAGTCTTATTGCTGTAAATTATGCCACATAAGATTGGTAGCATCATCAGCCTTAGCACTTTTCTAAAAATGAAACATTTTTGATCCCACCCCATTAAAAATTCTGAGGTTCCCGTGAAATTTTTTTCCTTGTTGGGAAGCCATTGGGGACTGGAATTATGTTAAGTCAGAATTTATTTAATAGTGCTATAATACTTACATTTTGTATCTTTTAGCTGTATCTCTTTCTTAAATTGATGTGTTAAGCCCCCTTTATATCCTGAGAAAGATAGAACATAAATAAATAATTATGAAAAGCTGGTGCAGTCAAGTACACAAAGTTTCTATTAAAATTCTTTTTGTAGTCTTTTGGATCTGAATACAAAATTCCATTTACAGATCTTTGTGGTAAACTTCAACAGCATGATGCACCTCAAATGAATTGGACTAAAAATCACATTATCCCCATCCAACCTGGCAGTTTAAGTCTGCTGACTGTAGATTGGGATCTG